GGGGGGGGGGGGGGCAGCCGGGTCGATGAGAGAAATAGAAGTATATCTGCTTCCCCACGGAGGGAAGCGTTCGCGAGGAGCGGATGTGCCGAGAAAAAGATTCCCTCGGACCGCTGCGTATATACGCGTTCGTTCGACTTCGGTCTGTTTAGTGCGAACGATAATGTTAATACAGACGATAATTTAACGGCATATTTAATGTAAAATTGAATTATATATTTTAATAATATAAACGATAATTTAATATCGAATATCATTTCGATGGAAATATTGTCCCATTGGAATAAATTATGTGTTGTCCGATAGGAGTAACAGTATTATTTTCAAGAGATAATATTTGGTTTTCAATGAAAACAATGTATTTTCATCACGTGTACTAAATCTTGTTCCACCGAAGCAAAAAAAGTTCTTCACAGCAAAAGTATTCCACTTAACATATGCGGTGTTAGATTTCTTTCGAATAATTTATTGCTCGTGACGTTATTGTTGTAACGTATGAACGATGTCTTTGAGACATCTTTAAGACGTCTTTATGACTCAGTTTTAGGTTTTGCGCTATCTAGGATGTCACTCGACACAAAGATACTTATCGCTTGGTAAAGCAAACAATTCTGTGTCTGTCGAATCAAACATTCGTTTGTTCGCTCCGCTCTGAAGGACAAAATTGCTTCAATTAGAGGAAGTGCAGAAAAATTCAAATCTTCTCCGTGTGTGAAATCTTCTTTCGCCGCGACTGAAGTTTCTTTGTTCGCCGGCCGATTAATCGTTAAATTGTAGTACGGACGGCCGAGCCGCGGGGATCAGCGCATGGGCGTAAGAATAATTTATCGCTCGGCGAGTCGAGTGAAACAATGCCAGGCGGGGACGATAAGAGAAAGAGAAAAAGACTCGGAGAGTATCGAAGGTAAATTGGAGCGGGTTAATAAAAATGATATCGCGTTCGCGAGGTGAACATCTGCCTAGCGATTTCAGCTCGATACCTGCCGGCGATATCGAGCGATGCAACTGTGCCGTGTTGTGTTACGTTACTTTACTCCTGCACTCTCATTTCGCACATATATATATATTTAAATACAGCAGATATACTATCTACCTCGATCGTGAGAGGTACAATCGGAGTAGTCCGTGCGAAGCGATTGGCGGATGAATTTGAAACGATGAAAATTACCGTTGCGATCCTTCCGACGAGAGAGTATCCCCGGTAAGAACGTTCAAAAGTGGCCCCGAGGTGTGACGAAACGCGATCGAGAAAACTACGAGAGAGCGGGGAATTCGCGGGCGTACAAAACGTATCACTTACCTGATCGGACGTGTTTATTCGGTCGGAGGAAGCGGCGCACTAAAGTTCTCCGAGACGGAGGGAGGCCGTTTACCAAGTTAGGCGGGCGATCGTGTGCGAGCGGCGTGTAGTCGACGCTCAATCACCCGTTGACGCGCGACAACGGAGGAGGAGGGTGCGAACGCACAATCATGTTTACATTGACGGTAATTGTACGTGGAAGACGACTTGCGGCTCGCGTTTGCACGGCCGAGCGTATCGCGATGACTACGAGTCGCTCTTATCGGGACTGATAAGCCCGCGAGGGAGATATACGCGTGTCGTGTAATCCGAATCATCGCTCGCCCGATTCGTTCGAAGTCGCTCGCTCGAGCCGGTTTGAGAAACACTGGCTGTACCACCACAGGGCCACACGCAACTCGTTACCCGCCCTTTGAGTGAATCCTTCATGGGTCGTGAGAACGCCGAATCGATTGGAGATAAAAGGGCCCACACCACCGTCAAGATCCTTCCGTTTCTGTGCAATTATATTTGTATTTACAAACAATCATTCTCCCTCACGTATAACATAATAATGCGCTTTTCTTATATATATATACACACACAAGAGAAATATAAACGTGAAATATACACGCAGTCGATGAAGCTTAGCTGCCACTTGGTTGCCGGGAAACCGGAGATATCCCGCGAGAGAGGGGGAATTTTAAGTTGTTTCATCATTCCTGTGCGTAACGAGCGAAATAAGACAGAGTAAATGCGTGAGAGGTAAGTATTCGTATCAAATACCTCGCGTTCCCTCCCGGTGAAGTCACACCGAAAACCGGTGGACATCTAAGAAGCAACGTTCAAATCCTTTTTGTAGTGCGAGTAAGTTCAAGAGACACGACATATCGTTCGTAATGAACATCCTTTCGGAAGCATTTTTTACGTAAAGTCCCTAATTCGGACGATCTGTAATTTACGATGGAATATCATCTTAAATTTTGCGTACAATTTCAGTGTCAGAAGATATTCATGTATGCGTTCTTACAAATTATAGAATCCAGAGAATTCCGAATTCAGTTCGCAAATTGCAGACCGTCTAAAAGCGAGCTCGATAACACAAATCACAGTTCTTTCGCCATTAATTCATTCTCTCAGAGTTCTTTCGCAATTAGAACAAATACTTAATCCTCCATTAACAGCTGGAAACAAGCGTCGAATGTGCACAAGGCCGTTGGAATTCTTTCCATCAATCTTATGATATTCAGAGCCTCCAACGTGTATCTCTGCTTCTTCAATTCCTGTACGAGTGATTTCGCATTGCTCTCGATATCGACTAGCGATTCGTTCGTAAAAACATGCTCGATTATCTGATTGTACACAACGTGGTCAGGTGGAAACGATGCTGTTAGGTCATTCAGGAAGAGTTTCTCCAGCACCAACGGTGGTAGTGTAACGGCCTGGAAAGAATCCAATTATCAGGTCGATTTAACTTCATTCAATTTCGAGGTTCAGATCATTCGTGCGTGTAAGACGAGCTAACCTGTTGTCGTTGTTTGATAAGATCCACCGCCTCTTTATGCATAGACACGTCCTCGGAACATAATCTTATGTAAAGGCCTTCTTCGAAACTAATGCGATCCTGTTCGGCCTCTATAAACTCCTTGAGTATCTGTTGTAGACATTTAGGTAATCAATCAACTATGACCAAAACAAGACGTGACGCGACTCATTAAATTACCTGCTTAGACGCCAACAGTCCGATCAGTTCCTCGTGCTCTTTCAATATCCTTTTCTCAAAGTCCGTCGTATTCGCGCTCCTGATTAACGGGATTATCGCTCTCATCATTCTCAGAATCGGATGATTGTCCAACCTGATGTGATCCGGCATAATGAATTTCGGCCATTCGATTATTACCTTCTTCAGCTCTTGGTACCGCCGCAGGTCGTCGATTTGATGGAACCGCCGTTGGAACAACTTAAATCGATCTTCCTCGGTGACACACTGATCGATACTGTTGTCGGGAGAGGCGGAGGATGCTGTTTCTACCTGCGCCGTTTCCTCGGATCTCGTTATATCCTCCTTGTCGCTGATGGCTTCCGCGTTATCGTCGGAGAACTCGCCCCAGTCGTCCGTCCACTCCATGGTGTCGATCTCATCCGGGACTTCTTTCAGATCCCCCTTCTCTTCGATGGATCTCGCGACCGGAGGATCGTTAACACTCACGGTATCGATTTCGTTCGAGACGATAACACTCGCCGGTTCTTCGTCTTCGTCGGAAGCGTTTGCGGCCGGAAGATCGCCAACATCGCTGTGTCCCGCGGATTCCTCTCGCGCTTCGATCGTAAACTTCGCGGTCTTCGCGAAAGTCACTTCGGGACGACGCGACACGCTGCTTCGTTCTGCTTCCGGCGCACTCGTACATCTCACCTCCGTCCCTTTGCCAATCGCTCTGGCAATTTTCGCACCGCCCAGCAAGTAACTCTGCCAGTACTGTAACGCCTCGACGAGGTCGCATTCTTCGTTCGCTCGTCTCGCGGCCGTCGTCATCTCCTTTATTAAGTCTGTCGGGCTGTACGAGTACAGCCTCTCGCAATCAGCGTGGCATTTTTTATACAATTTCAGCGAGTAGTAATACAACGCGGTTTGTATGTACAACTCGCTGCGCGGTAGATTCCCGAAGATCTCTTGAACATCCACGATGTGGTCTTTGTTCAAGCTCAATAAATACGACATGCCTAACAACCAGTCGTCCTGTATGGTGTGCCTCGCGCATTCCAGGAGCACTGAAATCAACGAGACGATCTCGCGAATCTTGTCATACGAAAATTTACTCATAATTTGATTCGCTCGAACTTAACATTCATTGAGATAACACGATTTAACAAACAAACAAAAAACCATCAGAACGAGACCAGTAGTTTCCCGTAGTTTTTTTTTTTTCTTTTGAATGCTGAATAACGAATCCAGTTTTCAAATTGCTCCATCAGTTGGCAATTTTGAGAAATTTGCAGTTAAAGTTGAAAAGGGGGAGGGAAATGATAACAACGCGCGATACTTACAATGATCGATGTCGCTTACTTCGAGTCCGTAGCAGGAGGATTCGCTCAGCATGGTTATTCTCAAGAGCGCGCGGCAACACTTCAACTTTGTATTTTGCACATCCGGCACGGAGTATTTGTTGTATCTCGCCTCGTTAGCGCTTATCTTGCACGCTCCGTGCAGAGATTCGTAATAACACGGGAAACTCTGGCGATTGGCGTCCTCGCTGGTCCCGTTTTGCTCCTCGGCGTCCTCGTACTGCTCGTCCGTTTCCAGATCGTTCGCGAAATTGAACCTCAATCTGGACTTCCAAAAGCTGGTGTCGCTGATATTCTTTATTAAGCGAAACGTCGATTTCTTCATGATGTTAGCCGAGCTCTTGACAATCTCCGTGGAAGTCTCCAGCATCTTCGGGACAAATTCCTTCACTTCCACTTGCGGCTGTAGAAACAAATTGCGGAGATCATTCTTTATAACTTGCATCTTGGGAAAAAAACGGGTATCGTAGGGTTCATCGTGAGATTGTCTCACCGTTGTCATAGCGTCCGTGAAATGATCGTCACTTTCGTCACTTTCTTCGTCCCTGGGGCTTTCAAATTCAACAGAAGGCATCCACAATTCCAAATCCTTGTGTAGCAACTGTATCTCTATCAGATGCATGTGCTCCAATGCGTTACCCAATATATCGCTTGGCCCGTTATTTATCGCGAACCACAGACACTTTTGTCTGACTCTCAAATCTTGATAATTATCACAACGACCCAGATTTAAGCAAATCTCCCAGGCAAGGAGATAACTATTCTGTGTCAACTGCGTACATATTGCGGCGCATGTATTGTAATTTTCAGTCTGTGTGAAAGAAAATTGTAACATCATGTTATCAATTTTCACGTCGTTGTCGTGCGATTTCCAAAATTATATCTCAAAATGGAATTACCGAGCAGATAATTAAAGTTAAGTTAAAAAGTTATTAATAATACTTTTAACTCGGCTCATTTCAAACGAGTTGACTTTGAATTTAAACGCTAGTCATTTTTAAATGTACTAATTATATTAATCTTAAACTTAACTTGGTTAAAAAAAAAAAAACGATTTAACCGAGTCTGTTGAAAAATATATATGAAAAAAGTGAGTCTCTAACCTCAAGTGCCTTCTTAGCTATCAGTTCTAAAACCTTCCCTTCGCGAAGTCGACTGTTGTTGCCTTCGATTCGTAAGTAAGCCGCCAACGTCAACAGCCTTTGCCGATTCTTATAAGCGTCCCTCTGATTGTTCAAGCAGCGCTCGATAAGGGTCAGTTTATCCGCTGTTAATCTAACTTGAAGGGGTAACATGTCAACGTTGAATTCGCTCAAAATCTGGAGCGATTTGATGAGGTCATATTCCTCCTTAATTCTCACATTGTCATCTTTGATCAGAAGAAGGCAAGTTCTGGAACGATCGTTACACGTACACACTTTGCACGATAAATTGTCACGCGACCATTAGCTTTACTTACTTAGCCAATTCCATATTCGGATCATTGAGCGCTTTGGAGCCGTTAAAGTATTCCTTCGTAGCTTCTAGTATCAGGTCGACTGTTCTCTCATAGTTCACTAGTTCTCTCGTAGTTAACGACTCTTCATTCCTCTTGGTTTGTATCAAGCTGGAGCAATTCTGGATGACGCTTTTAACCCCTGAGATTAAGCGAGCGGAAACGTATATCTCGGAGCAAATGTCGTCATCGAGACAGGGCATTGCATCGTGCACGACCCACATGTCGTCCGACAATACCGGCCATTCGTTCTCATCCGAAGGTGGAAATCTGCAAAAAGAAATATATTCTTACACCGCCATTATTGTGAAAATGTTTTACAACCGATGAGAGTTATGCATTCTATGTACTGATTGTTTAAGCTCTTCGCCATTTGGATCAATAACGATTCGACGATGACAGGATTGTCCTTGTGCTTCCTTACGAACTTCAACGTTGTTTTCACGCCGTATTTGCTCAATACTCGGCTGCAATACAGGTCTTTCTTAAGCGTGAAGAGTTGCTTCGCGAAGCTATCCGTCGTGAGTGATTTACATTTGCCCTGATTTCGCGGCAGCGAATCCAAGATATCCATCGCTTTCTCGTACATGTCGGGGTCGTCGCAAGCGCATATGCAATCTAACGCCAAGATGCCGACGTCATCGATCAATTGCATTATCTCCGCATCCTGCGTCTGTTGCAAATGTCTGAAAAGCTTGACCGGAAGCATCAGGTCATCTTTGCTCAAACAAATTAGATAATCGCTCAGCAGATGCTTCTCGAGGTATCCGCCCTGAAATTCCAGACAAAATGCGTCACACGCATATGCATATATTCGATTTGATCTGAAACGTATGTTATACGCACTAAATTTTGATGTCTCCGTTTGATAAACGGCAGCAGGAGATTCCTTATGTTCTCAACGAAATCTAATTCGGTCGACCTGCTCATTAAGAGCTTTATCTTCTCTATGTTATTTAATTTCTCCAGTTCATACAACGACATATCTTCCAGATAGACCTTGTACACTAAATCATCTAACGTCTCCAGATCCAACAATAAATCCTCCATATCGTTAATGTTATGAGATTTTGCGATCTTAATCAATTGCAGAGCATTGTCTACCATCGAACTGTTCTTCTCTATTTCGTAGGCACGCATTTTGTACCATTTCTGTAACAGCTCCGGAGTAAGTTGCGTGTTTCTAAAAGTAAGATAAAAATGATTGAGAGTATAAAAGTTATTGAGAAAAGTAAGAAAAAAGTAAGATAAAAATTATTGAGACAAATATTCTTTTAACTTTTAATCCCTTAACTAGCAAACTGAATAAAAGAAGTGCGAATAATCGCGTAACTCACCTATATATTGATAACGAGGGATCCAATTCGTACAATATTTCCGATCGATCGTCCGCATCTAAGTTTATTATTTCGTTGAACTCAAGCTTTTCCGACCAGTCTTTCTGTCGTAATTCACGTTGATCCAACAGGAACAATTGGCCTTCAAGATCGCATTCCGGCAAAAGTTTCTGATAATCCGACGGATTCAAAGTTTCCGGGAAGAAGCTGATGATTGCTAGCCAATGAGACACCAACTTTTCCCCGTAATAGGTAAACATAATCTCAACACCACGATAATCTCCGTCTTTGGCGAATCTGTACTTGAGAAAGTATTCATAAAATGGATAAAATAAGAAAGCACAATATCTCGGAAAAATCGCCGATTAAACATACGCAAGCATATTAATACCTAATTGCATTCTCGACGGCCGACAACCTACGAAATTCCTCGTAAAATTCCTTCCCGTACTGAAGAGGCGGTTGCAATATGATCTCGTATGTGAGCAATTTATCCAAGTGACTCAGGAGCTTCCTTCTGTATCTAATTAAATTTTTCTGGGCCTCTGACAGCTTACTCATGTCCAACTGCTCGAGCATCTCGTTGACCTTTTGCACCTGTATTTCCCCCCCCCCCCC